TAGAATTTTATATATTTTAAAATTTTCAATTTGACCTCATTTCTTTTTTTTCTTCTTCCCCCTCCCACTCCCTTCTTTTTCTTCTTCTTTCACCCCCTTTCTTCTTCTTCTTCTTCTTGGGTAAATTTCACTCATGGTATACGAACTTTCATCATTATTTCACTTCGGTATATAAATTTTAATTCATATTACAAAAGTACATGAACTTTCAACATTCTTTCACCGGTGGTCCAATATGTGGTTTCTAGGTCACCTTCAGGTCATTTGGGGTCAAATTATAATTTTATAAATTTAAATTTTTTATTTTGACCCCATCCTTCCCTCCTTTTTCTCTCTTCCTGGGGGTGGGGCTGGCTAGGAAAGAGGAAGAGAGAAAATGGAGGGAAGGGTGGGGTCAAAATAAAAAAATTAAATTTATGAAATTATAATTTGACTCCAAATGACCTGAAGGTGATCTAGAAACCGCATATTGGACTACCGGTGAAAGAATGTTGAAAGTTCGTGTACTTTTATGATTGGAATCAAAGTTTATATACCGAAGTGAAATAATGATGAAAGTTCGTATACCATGGATGAAATTTACCCTCTTCTTCTTCTTCTTCACCCCACCCCACTCCCACTCCCACCCCGCCAGCCCCTCACTCTCTCCCTTCTTTTTTTCTTCTTCTTCCCCCTCCCACTCCCTTCTTTTTCTTCTTCTTTCACCCCCTTTCTTCTTCTTCTTCTCTTTGATACGGGTGTATGGTACAGATTTTATATTTTCATGTATATCGAATTTGCACGTACTAAATTAAAATTTCCAATGGGACATTCAGATAGATTTCCACGTGTAGAGGTAGTAGAGATCTATATTAGATTCAGCAACCAAAGTCCAAATACCCCAATGGCATTATTATATTATTTTCAACCAAAATCGTTAATACCCCGCACTAATTATTGTTAATTATTTCATTTCATTGTTAATTACGTTTGCATACTCCGTCATTACCATTGATTATGGCAACATCTGACGGTTTGTAATGATTATAATTACGCATGAAACATGAACATGTCTGTAGAGTACTCCTACCGTGCCACAATTTTTATTTATTTTGTCGCTGCAGATAATAATAATGGTTATTATTATTATTATTAATCAGCTGACAAACTAGAGTGGTCTAATGACAACCACTCCACACTTAAGATTATCTCTATATGGAAGGATTTGAGTTCGAGTCACCCTACTAACAAAAAAGGCTTACTTTTGATCACCTATTTATGAATTTGAGAGTAAAACTACTCTATTTTTGTAGGTATCACCAGAACCAGCGCTCTAAAAAATTCTCAGCCCTAGTTGGGGTAGGTATGATCAAACGACTAGGGGCATGCGATATATACTAATTCGTAGTTCCAAGCTGGTGGTCTGGGTTTCTTGTCGTGGGGCCATAATGCGGTGGGCCGGTTAGAATAAAAAGTTTACAATCCAAAATTTGTCGGTAGGCATTGCACATTTCACAAAGGAAAAGAGTGCCTAGAGAGTAAGACTCGAGTTTGATTATTTCTGGCAGCTTTGCTACTCCGTAGTAGGCAACTACGCTAAGCATATGATTATTGTAAGTGTAAAATTAAAAAAAATAAAATGTATATATTCAGAAACTAGATCAAAAGTTCTACAAAACGTATAAGAGGTGACATGAGTATATTATTTTATCAAATAGAAAATGAAAATAGACCAACAAAGTGTATAACGTTTGATCCTGTGAATAATGAACGAGAAGATAACTAATTAGTTTTTATTCAACCTTTCGTCTCATTTTGAATGAAAAATTTATGGGAAAAAAACTTTCATATTGTTCATTCGTTCTTATTTTTTCACCTTCTTCCAAACACACTACATGTTCATATATTTCATTATTTTCCATCCAAATTTTTTTCCTCAAGGGCAATAAATTGGGAGAGAGGACAAAAAAGAAAGAAAGATATTGATTGGCAATATAATTAATGCAAGGGCGGGCCTGGTTGAGAATTGTGAAAACAGTGAGGAGACAGTTACAAATAGAGAGAAATATTGGTGGATAAAACGACAAATCTGAGAGAATTTGAATGGGCAGTGAAAACGAGAAACACATCTGAGTGAGTGAGTAGATGTGACTGTAACAGTCAAATTTGCAGAAGCGTCACTTTCCTCTCTCCTCTGGATGTGTGCTTTTCTTTTTCTTTTCTTTTTTTATGAAACCCTCCCAAAAAAAAAAAAAAAAAATTGCATTTTTTTGTTTGCTTTCTATCCCAAATTTTAACTTTTACTCATCTCAACAAAATTATTTCTCCTTTACTAGCTCGCAGTAATACTTCACACTTCTTTTTATTCTATTTTTTTTATAAAAAAATATATTATTCTTTTTAGGAAAAAATATTTATGTTTTTAATATTTCTGTTTTCTTTGAACCAATTAAACAGTTTCACTACGTAATTATACTTTTCTTAATTTCTATAATCGGTCAATTGTGCAATACTATTACAAGCGAGCTGTAATAAAAGGTAAAAAAATCTCGTCCATCCCCAGTTAATTAACTTCTTTTGCCCTTTCAGACTTCCAGTAACTTTTGTTTACATATATATTTTTATCGATTATTTGACATATATCTGAATGCATATAATTAGAGGGTGTTTGACACATAGTTAATTTTTAGAATTTAGCTTTTGATTTAAGTGGCAATCATTTTATTCTGTTTGACATACCAATTTTTTTTTCACCATCATTTTGTATATAGAATACCATTTTGGAGATGCAGATATGTGATATTTCTACTTTCAGTTTTTGTGAAAATCAATTTACTCATAACTTAATCACTCCCAAACATCCTCTTAGATTTCAGTTGTTTAAGTGTTTAACACTAACATTAATTTTAGTTGAAGAGTGTTTAAATAATTTATTTGACATGAATTGAATTCAAAATTGAGTTTTTAAAAAAAGGGACTTTATATAATCGTAGAAATAATTAAATGCGTGCTGCTGCTGTTAATGCATTAAATACCTTTTTGCCTTGACATACATTTCAAAAAGGCTACTATATGCCTCTATAGATTGCCTGGGATTTTCAGCGCTTGCTGTAAATCTTGCAAACAAAAAAAATATTCCCTCCGTCACCTGTCGTATTTGTCCACTTTCATTTTTGTACACTATTCAATACACTTCTTTAATCCATTTTATCTTGTAATTTGTATATTAAAAAATTATTAAAATTATATATTAATAATTTATATGTTAAGACAAATCAAACAAGATCACACATGACTATATTTAGGCTTACACATTGAGAGAATTTGATGAGTCAAAGTACTTAGATGAACAGTTCCAAAAGTCAAAAGTGGACAAACAAAACGGTTATTCATTCAACATGGGAGTAATATTTGTTAGAGAGTACGGCAGATTAAAAAAGTGGAAAAAATAATAAACATATACTCCCTCCGTCCCAATTTATTTGGAACACTTCGAACGACGTGCAAAATATCATCTATTTTAAAATCATTTTAATTTCAAATTGGTAGAGTAATAAAAAGTAAAAATTACACCATTTAAAAGTATATGAAAAACTCTACAAAACAAGATACGACAAGAATATTTTATTTTATCAAATGGTCAACCAAAACGAGTAAACAAACAAAAGTTATCGAGAGGCCAGAATAGTAAACGTGGCATTCTTTCTGGGACGGAGGGAGTAAATTTTTTAGATGAATAACGTAATCGATAGCATAGTCGAGTGATCCTTGTACCATCTTAAATCTTGTCATTGTATTTAAGACAAATTTTAGTCTATCCCGTTTGTCAAGGTCTGTGTCTAGACATTTATTTCTAGAAATATGGCCGGTTTAACCCATCGGTCTGCTAAATATTTACTCTAGTTATCCGTATGGAAAATGGTTTGTGACCCATTTAACCCAATTACTCGTCTAGCTAGGAATCCATACTAAGCGGCCCGTGGTCATATAAGTGTTGCCGCCGCATTCTCAAATAATATTGGTTTCGAAATGGCCTGCCCAAGAAATCATTTACAAGTGGTCAACCGGTTAGATTTAAAATGGTCTACTTGCCTATTTGATGGGGATGTCGTTTTAGAAAGTATCCCGCATCAGAAAAGTGATAAGAAAAAATCATAAGTATATAAGCTCTTAAATTGAATTAAATAAACGTACGATTGAATATAATATTTTGATGTGGTTCAATTTTTGGTGAATATAAAAAATTCATAGAGATCACATGTTTGGTGAATACAATGACAAAAATTATGGGACATCATATCAAATCCTCATGGAGAATAAATAGGATCATCATCTGCAAATAAATGTTCACTTGAATACATACATACTACCTCTGTCCCAAATTATTTGTCACATTTGCTTTTTCAACAGTCGCGGAAACTTTTGTTTATTTCTACGTTTTCATTGTTTATTTGATAAAATAAAATATTCTTGACACTTCTTATTTTGAAGAACTTTTCATGTAGTTTTTTGATATGTACTTTTTATTTTTTATTTTTTTACCAATATGTAAATAAAATGAATTGAAAAAACTTGATATTTTGCCTCGGTAATAGAAATGTGACAAATAATTTAGGACGGAGGGAGTATAATAATACTCCCTCCGTCATATAATGATCTTCCCAGAGCACTATTCCAACTTCACGGGAATTTATATGTATTTGTGTTTTTTCATGGCCTATATGATAAAATAAAATATTCTTGTCACCACTTGTTTTGTTGAACTTTTGATGTAGTTTTTAAATATGTATGTTTTATTTTTTATTTCTATACAAATATTTAAATAAAATAGATTGAAAAAATTTGGGATTTTTCTTCGTTTTGCGAACCGGGAAGATCATTATAAGACGAAGGGAGTAATAATGTAGCTACCAAAATACATTTCAGTCTCTGCACACCATCACACGCCAATCTAGGGAAGAAAGAAAAAAAAAGATATTCTCAAAGAAAAATACAAACATAAAAAAACAAAAATGAAAGACAAATAATTAAAGTATTCTAATGTAGAGATATATAAACTACCTCAACATGATCTGCATGCAAATCCCCATTTGATGACAAACCACATGTACCATTTCTTCTAATTAATCACGCTTCAATTATACATCAAATCTGCATTTACGTGCCAATGCCATTATCTTTAATTGTTTTCTTCCTTCACTAATCACTGAAAATTTAAATTATTTACTATTTTTAGGAATAATGTTTTGCACAAAAAAGTCCAAGAAATGAAGTTGGAGCAAATTGCTAGCTAGATTTACATCTAGATGGAGTAATATACCAAATATAGAGCATTCGAGTTTTAAGCAATATAATTAAATATTGCAATACTTTAACCACAAATTATGGAAAACATATATTCAGTTATAATGTAAATTTAGTAAAATTAAGTTTATTTTAAAATTTAGTTAAATTATGGAATAATAGTCCTCATTTTTTTTTGGAATGACTAAAACAACTAAACAAGGAGCATTCTTTTTTGATTTTGGAAAAAATTTGTGGCTCATTCTTGTTCTCTTATTTACATCATTTTCAACTTAACAACTTTTACTACAAATTTGTGGCTCATTCTTGTTCTCTTATTTACATCATTTTGTAGAATTTTACAAGTTGTGAATAGTAAATGAGAAGAAAACTTTAAGATGAAGTGATTGAAGTTTAACCGTGTAAATAGTAACTGTGAATCTTTTTTAAGACAAACGAAGTAATATTCAAATTGAAAGGGTGAAGGGGTAAAAGAGTCATTTAATAACTTTTCACTTAAGTGGCTCAATTTTCTTGCCGTTTGGGGGATAAAACTTTTCTTTTTGGCACATAAGTGCATTTCTTTCTCTGATCTCCACGTTTTCTATTGCAAACAAACAAGATAAAATATGTTGAAATTTGTGTTTTCTCCTCTACCTTTTCTTTCCCTTCAAAATCAACCCATCCAAACAAGTTGTTAGTATTGAAATGGACTTGAGCCTTGTTTGAGAACTACGGTCTACGGATTACACTTTTAGCTAACGTTAGCGTTTTAGTTATTTTGTGAGTACAAATTAACTTTACGAAGAAAAACACATGTGGTGCTATTTAGGGAAAGTCATTACTCCCTCCGTCCTAAAATTAATTTCTCAGTTTGACTTTTGTGGTCAAATTTTTTAAACTTTGACCGTATATTACGGAAAAAATACATTGAATTTTCATATAAATTTATTAGCAATAGATTCATTTTGAAACATAGTTTTGAAATATATAATTTTTATAAAATATATTTATATAAAAATTGAGATATTGATTGTCAAAGTGTCGCATTGGAGACCGTGAAAAGTCAAATGAGAAGTTAATTTTAGGACAGAGGGAGTATGTTTTAGTGCTATTTAAGCCAAGATTATTTAACTTAATTATGAAGAAGATATAAACTAAAAATTGTTTATCTAACAAAAAATTACTGAACTCACATGACTAATGAGTGGCATTCTGGTCATCGGGTGCACTATGATCTGGAGACTGATGTTGATGATGATGACGAAGATCGGAATTCATATTCGGAGCGCCTCTTGGATGATACGCATTAAGAGCGGCCAACATTCCCAGATTGCCCCCCTCCGCCATTCCTAATCCCAATTGCCCCGACGGCTGCGGCGGCGGCATTATCAAGGACCCCAGCTGCAATGGGCTCCCTCGGTTCCCCGGAAAATCAAGATTGCAGGTCGGAATGCTGAATCTCGACATGAATTGTAACGGCGCTTGAAGGGATCCGCCATTCCCCCCTCCGGCCCCGGCATGAAATGCCCACATCTGCCCCTGTTCCGGCCCGCCGCTCACCGGAAGCATCGACAAACCGCCGGACACGCTGTGCGGCGCCTGAGTCACCGCCCACATGGCGGCGGCGGACGGCATCATATTTGGGTGTCGAAATACACTGGACGGCGCGCCGGATGGAGAATCTTGGGTACTGGAGGCCGGACTTCCTTTGAATTGTTTGTTCACCGGTGAATCGGAGCCTCGCCGGCCGCCGGAAGTTTCCCCTTGGTGATTACTCGGCCCTTCTTCCTTTTCCCTGTATCTTTTCCCTAAGTAATTCTCGGTATCGTCCGGTCCCCTGGCTCCGCCGGTATCTCCGCCTCCGGGGAGTGCTCCGGCGATCTGGGTCGGCGGTAAGAATTGAGAAGGCTGGTGAAATCCTAGCATATGGGAGTAGCCCTCCTCGTAATTGTGAGCCGAAAGGGCTAATGAGCTGTGGAAAGAGTGAGGAGAGGACTTAGACGGCGGCGCCGACAGAGACGAGCCGCTGCTTCGGAGGGAGATGTTTAGGGTGGAGAAGTTCGCCGGGATCGTACCGGTTCCGGTGGAGGCTATGATGGCGGGCTCTGCTTGTTGGAGTAGCCACTCGATTGTCTCGCCGTCGGACTTGTGGCCCAGTTCTCTAGTCAGCTGGAAAACACGCGCCGCGCAAGCCGCCGGCATTCGGATGCGCCGGCCGCGGCCGTCCACTTTCGTGTGGCGGTCCTTGGTGGATCTCTTCGGCGGCGGCGGCGGAGGATGTATTTGGAGCTGTTGGGATTCCGGTACCGTGGCAATTGCTAGGGAAGCGTCGACGAGATTCTGCAGCGGAGCACCGGCGGCGGCGGAAGTCGTGGAGGCGCTTGTTGAGAGTGAGATACTAGAGGCCGATGAGGTAGAGGCGGTAGAATTGTTAGCGCCGAGAGATGCGGCGGCCGCGGAGATGGAAGACATGAAAGGGACGGATCGTGCGGTGGTGGTGCCATGGTGGTGGTGGTGGTTGATGGGCGGAGGAACGGTGGTGGAATTTGGTTTGTTACTGCTTTGTGTGTTTGAGGGTTGTTCCATTATGGGTTTTGGTTATGTTTTTGTGTAGGTGTTAGCTGGCTGTGGGGTAATGGTAATCAACCCATTTTCTTTCTTGGGTTCAAATCCTACTTTTTCTTTTTTTTTTTTCCTTTTCTAAATACTTACTCCTCATGAATATGGTTCTGATTCTAAACCTGCAAGGACCCTTCTAAAAATGTTTTGAAATCAAAATTGGGTTTATATATATTTTATTAACTTTAATATATAAACACTATAAAAAATAGGATTTTTGTCTCAAAAATGGTTTGCCAACCTATTATGAAAATTGTTAGAAAGTCCACATTTTATATGTGGAAATTAAGATAACAAAGACACCACTCTATTTTCCTAAACATTGCACAACAAAGTAGTCTCCTCTCCCAGAGGAGCTAATATATCCACCACCCATTAACTAAAGTCACTCCCTGCATAAGTGCAAATTATATAATACAACCGGATGTACTGTACATCATTGTGAATGTATATTTAATTTTTTTTCAAAATAAATATTACGTTGTTACATAATGAACACACTATATTTTTTCAGAATAAACACACTACACTAAGCAGACTTGAAATGAGCACTACTATACATTGTTTTAGAATAAACACTACGTTAATTTACAATGAACATTTATTGAATGTATCCAACTCTAGGTACATTCAGATGTACAATTTAGACTCTCATGTATGCCTACATAAGAAACGGAGAGCCAAAAATGGATGCTATATGAGATCTTTAGTGCTAAACACCTGCTCTCAAATACATTATATTGAAAAGAGTAAAAAAAGTGCTAGTGTGGAAAATAGGAAGCTCTATGGATAAAGACACCATGTAAATGTACGTGCCTTTAGTGCACTAATCACGCATTTTTAATTGTTAACATTCCAAATATTTAAGTATGGACAATTATTTTTTAGTGTTAATATTTACTACCTCCCTCTCCAAATATATGCATAGTTTTGACTTTTTCAGTCAATCATTTTCAATCTTTGATTTATAATTAAATAAAATATATATTGTATTTTAATTAGATAAAATGAACATTTAAAATAATTATATAACAAATCTAATAAAATGATTTTTATATTAATATCTAATATCACTTTTATTTAATTTTGATCAAATAAAGTCCAAAGTAGAGTATACAAAATGACATTTAAGCGTCTCTTTCACGAGATAGATTTCCTATTAGTGCTCCTACTTTTGACTTTCCTTCACCCCACGGTTTCACAATACAAATAAATAAATAAATAAAAATATTTCATCCCTCCCCATTTTAATTTTTACTACTCCGTATTTGATTTTACATAGCTAAGAAAAGTATTAAAAATAAAATATTTGTAGTTGAAGTTTGTTTAAAAAAATGTATTTAACTGTTTCGGAATAATTAAAAATGAAGTGTATCGATTAATTCAAAAAAAATAGGGAGCAAAAAGTAAAAAGGTACAAAATTGTGACTAGATAGGTAAACACAAAAGTTTTGTATGATTAGGCCGGTAAATGTGTACGTACATTTTCTATTTTCTACTCGTATGAATGTAATGACCGACTCCCACTTACTCTTGGAAAAAGTTTGCACTTTAACTTACTCCTTACATCTAAAAATTATCTTGTTGTTGCACGTTACGATATTTGACTGAAGTTATTTTAAGTTATTTTATATAAAAATTGGTGTAGAATTTAAAAATAGAAATTATATATTTAAAAGTTACATCAAAAGATCCATAAAACTAGTCTTGACATGACCATACATATTATTTTATCAAATAAACAACAAAAATCAGCCAACAAAGTAAATAAAATTGGACACTGTTAATAGTGAACGAGAAAATAATTTTTGGATGGAGGGAGTTTTTTTTGTAATCATGAATTCATATATACTCTCTCCGTCTTTAAACATTTTTTCCAGTTACTATTCTTACGGTCAAACTTTAATCAGTTTCTTTATCTGTTTTCATTAGTTATTTCAGAAAATAATATAGTCTTTTCAGCTCTTGTTTTGTAAACTTTTTGATGTAGTTTTTAAATATGTATTTTTTTAGTTTTATACCTACAATCAATAAATTGAATTGAAAACAAAGTCGGTTAAACCTCGTAAACAGAAACAGGAAGAACGTTTTAGGACGAAGGGAGTACTTTATTTTATTTTTTTTTTGACAGAAGGGAGTACTTTATTTTAATGTTTAAAAAAATTGCACACAAGATTATTCTCTTCTAAAAAAATTAAAAATTAGTCTTACGTATTTTTTTTCCAATACTTTTTTAATTTTCATGAAATTAAATTCCAGGGGTGAGTTGAGTGTGCATCGTGGTCTCCATGTTATACATCGAGATATACAATATGACCGTACATTTGACATATGAATATCTACAAGTTAATTTTGGAATGTTCATTTTGTTAGAAAAACATGTTTTTATTTTGTTGCAAATAGCACGTCTAATCCGTCGAAAAATAAAACTAAAATCTTAAAAAATGCACATGTACCCTTTTGCATATACTCATGAGGGCATTTACATTATAAAATTATTATATGCACATTCACAAGTCACATCTACGTCAAACACATAATACAATTATAAAATTGATACATTTGGTTTTCTATTCTCGGAGGGCTGTGAAATTTCTTAATAGAGTTTACCGGGTTGTGCATAGTAATGTTTCAACCCCTAAGAGTCTATTTTCTTTAGTTTATGTTTTTACTTAGTACCTACTCTTGTTTGAATCAGATAAGATAAAAATGTTCAAATTAGATCATCCACAAGTTTATATTACACTACACTCAAATTAAATCAGATAAGTTCAACTATTCAGATCAAATTTTAATAAGTTCATATAAAATCAGAACTTAATAAATTCTGATCAGACCCAATCAGGTCAGACGAAGAGAACATACCCTGAGGCCCATGATTTTATTTTTAGTAGGATCGGGTTTGCTATTCAAAAGGGGGTTGTGACGCAATTTTTTGGCCGGTTCGATTGATTTGAGTACAAACATAATGTATGAAAAAAATAAACGTGTGAAATATATCATTTTTGAATAATTTATGAATAAATGTGAGGGTGTATTGGTCATAGAAGGTGGCTGAAGAGTCGTTTTCAGTGAAAATAAAGAGTGAGTGGGAATGGGAGAGGTGTCCCAACAAACAGCTAATAATCATATAGTACACAAACTACGTACACACTGTTTGGTATGTGGTTGTTGATGAACTCTTGTCCTCTTATATGCCTCCAATGGGTTGACATTTTAGGATGACATTGCATTTCAACTTGGGAAATATCTACTTGCACACCACCCAACTTACACCAAGTTGTACACCAAAAGTATGTATCAACATTTTAACGACATGTCCAAATCAAAAATGTCGGTGCGATCGTAAAATTTTGCATTGATATTTCATGACAGTATGAGCCATGAATGTGCAGTGCAAACCTTTGGGGTCAAACTTGATGTACACCAAATAGTGTACACCTAGCATGGCTATAAATTTATTCTCTCTCAAAACACCTGCATGTGATCTCTGTAAGAAACTAGTGTTATCATATTAGTTATCTCTGCTAATACTAAATTCAGTAGGGTTCCTTGACATTGAAACCTCGTGTGAATCTTATGATATTAGCTCCAATTGGAGACCATATGATGTCTCGTTTGAAAAAATGATGGTCTCTACTTTCGAGTTCTTAGATAAATCGTCACACTCCAGCCCCACCCGAACCGACCATTTATCTCCTTCAATTGCACCCCGCAATTTTAATTGACTTTAAATTTTACTCCGTAATATATAATATGACCAGTCAAAATGGAGGAAGTATATGTTATTATGTAATAGGTCCATTGCCAATTTTAATTCATAATGTTAGTCGATTCTTTAGCTGCATACATATGCTTTTTTTAATAAGCATTAAGTTTAGTTAAGTAATCAAATAAATTACAAAAATTAAGTATGATTCATCATAACAAGTGTACATACCTAACCAAACGGTGTTCTGTTGACTTTTTTTTACTTTTTTTTTGAGGATGTGGAATCCCAAATGCAATTTCCAAATCCTCCAAAGGTTAAGCTACCAAACTCCATGGAAAAATTCAAAATAAGACATATCATCAAATTCTGTATCATAACACTAATCATGTTACCTTAAGTCCCAAGACCTCAATCCATTTCCAAACATCATCCTTTTCCTCTGTTTCCCCAACGTCTTCTTCTTCTTCTTCTTCAAATGTATCTTCATCGAGTTTCAAAACAAAGCATAAACTTCAAATTTTATGTCCTCATCGCGGTTGCCATGAGCCTAATCTTCATATTCTGTCTCTTCGTCATCCTCGTCGTCATCATTATTGGGACCCCAATACCTATATCCATCTCCAACGCCATCCCTCTCCTCCTCTGTCTCTTCGCTATCTTCTTCGTATCTAACTTCATTGACAGGCCACGGTTTCTTCACTACACTCAAATTGGTCTGGGAGGTGCCAGAACTTTTACGGTTTGCGACTTTTGCTGGAGGCATTTTCAAGTTCGGCTTTGGCCTGCTCTGTTTCTGAGTCTTTCCATTCCCATGGTGTTTCCCACCATATGCTTCTTTGTCACTCTCTTCATCCATCATCTCGTTTTCAACAGCAGCTGAAGGGGCCAGAGGTTGAGCGTTCTTGTTGGCATTGTCATCTGGGAAATGACCTGGGTGTTCTTTCCTTAAATGGAGATTGAGCTTGTATTCATGGATGTAAGCTTTATCGCATCCTTTGTATGGGCATATGTGAGGACGGTCAGATGACGAGGCGTGTGCTCCTCCAGTAGATTTTGGTGTTTTGGTTGGCCTCTCTATAGTAGGCGGGGGAGGAGTATACTTTGTCACTTCTGGTGTGGCATTCTGCAGAAAAATATTTTCCATGTTGGAAAAACTGAAACCATTTCCTAGCTATGAAAACAAATGAACACTAACAGTATGTCTCGTTCAAAGAATTTGAAAGGGAAACGAAAAGAAAATGAAGTGGAAAACA